CCAAGGAGAAACTGACAACCCCCAGTAAACCGCATCCAAAACCGTGGGTTTCCCTTGTTCTTTAGGTCATCCGCCAGGTGAATTGTTATGAACGCTGCCTCCCATGTCCAGCCTCGACTTCCATCGCCTGACGGCTCGGGCATTGCTTGGGTCCGGCTCAGGCTGTTGCGTTTCTTCACTGAAGTGGCCTGGTACGATGAGCTGATCATCCACAGATTCGGAATCCAACTTGAACTTCTGATATCTGAGTGGCATACAAATGCTGGTGGCAACTGCTCAGTGTAGTTTGAACCCATGTTTTGCCTTAGCTCTGATCAAAGATGGATTCTGGGTTTTGCTATGCGCAAGTTTAAAACTGCAGTATGATCAATGGCCACCATAAGTTCAATGGGAACTTGCAGAGTTTTCAGGAAATGCGCGGCATTGGCCCATCTTCAGACATCTCAACCATTCAAAAGGAGCTTCCGGTTGATTTCCTATTCAACTCCAACCAAAAAGACTTCCATTTGCTTAAGTCCCCTGAAAAAAATGTGTCCAGTAGTGCTAGCTGCCTTTTAAAACCAACAGGGAACAACAAACAACATGTCAGCATATGCAAAAAGAGGGTCTGACCTCCATTCTAAGAAACGCGCGGAGGGCCGAGGTTCCCTGCCTCGCCAGGCGCTCTCGACATGGCTGGTGCTTGGCCTGACAGTTGACCCCTATCTCATTCTTTACATCTGGGCTGCCCTCAGATCCCCCGCTAAAAGTTTAACTTTTAGTGGCTTGAATGGAAACTACCACCAAACACTAAAAGGCTAAAAAGCTACGGAACCGGATGGCTGGGAGCCACCAAGATCTGACGTGTTTCTGGAGTTGCCCGGTTCACCTCGTTCTAGGGAAGGCAACCCGGGCGCGCTGTGGCTGTTGGGGGGGAAAACGGCTCTCCCAATTTCCGCAAACCCGAAAATTGGAAAATGGATGCCGAGTCCATTTGATCCGAGTTGGTGGGATCCATTGGGATCCATCGCGTGCTTCACACCTCAAGGAAGCCTAAAGGAACTCAAGGCCAACAGAAACACTAACTTCATGGAAACCCAAAGGACATCATGGGTGTGTCTTGTTTTTAGGGGGTCCCCCAAAAATGGCTAGTCTTCCTTGTCTTCCCTTTTCAACCACCCCAACTGAAAGAAGACACCCCAACCGCATGAGCAACACACCCAGAAACCCTCCAAAGCCGATCCTCCAGGTCGTCGAGCCTCGCCGCGGCCTGCCATCCGGAAGAGGAGCCATCCGCCACGGCTTCGTCAAATGCCATAGGAGCCATCTGCAAATTTGACTAAGCCATAGGAACAACCTAAAAATATTATATATATATATATATCATAATTCCATACTCTAGTTCCAAAAGCTGGTTTAAGAATTGGATCCCCGAGTAAAGACCTTTATCAAGGTGAGCGCGCTATAATTCCAGGGGAGCTCGCTATAAACTAGGCAGAACAATGCGCCGGATTGATCAAGGGAAAGGAGGCACACCTCTGTCCTTACAAGGGTCTGACTCGGAAGGTAAGGGGAGGCATTGACTTTGGGTTTGGGGTATCCAAGCCAATGTCAAGAACTTACGTAGGCGGATCTCCGCATCTATGGTTTGGATTTGTTCTTGCTACACTTTGATTGTGGCTCACTTGGGGCTTCTCAGAGATTTCTGAAAAGATCGGAATACTTGCAGATTAACATGGAACCCAGAAAGCAAGCATTTAAAGGGAGTACACTGAGTACACCTTACCAACCTGCTCGGTTCAAATTGGGGGTTGTACAACACGATAATCGTCAAACGGTTGACTGAAAGCTATAGTTGGTGGCAAAATCTAGTCACAAGTGCATCACCGCCCCAAATCCACCAGGATTGCTTGCAGGTTCTACAAAAACAATGAATAGGTTATACGTGCTGACGATGGTCCAAACACCGTGATAATGGGCATAGTGTGCTTGCTTGACGAGGCTTCGCTTTCGCCCGTGTGCCAATCTGGGTTCTTCAAAACGTGGGGATCCCTGATCCTGATCCGCTTCCTCTCAAAAAAACATCAAAGCATGCCAAAAAGCAGGAAAATAGTGGAACAAATCGTAGTTATCCGAAATGCATCATACCCAAGTTTCGTATGCCGTGGTGGCCTTCTCACCTCTCCGTGTGCTAAACACCCCTCCACCTGCCCTGGGGATCATTGTACCCTCCAATAAAGAAACCATCTTATGGAAACCACATCTGACCTTGAAAAGGCAAAATCTGAACACCGTTGAACAGAAAGCCTAAACAATCCGGTGGTCAAGCTTGTTAAATTCTTCAATGGTTGAAGTGTTGGTTTGGGTGCCCTCAAGGTGGGTCAGGCTTAGTCAGTCCTCCTGCAAAGGAACGGCCCCCCCCCAAAACAACAACTGCAAAATACTTGATGAGGGGATTGACAACAAAACGGGTTTCTTTTTGAGGGTGCCCTTTTTCAAAAGGAGAACCCGGAATTTCTAGGTGCAGAATCAGTTTTGACACATCCCGAATGGACCCAGTGCTCTGGTTAGGAGTCCATGTGAGAGGACCATAAAGGATGTCGCGGATTTTGGTAAACATCAACTCATGTTCTTTACCCCACCAAGGAACCTAGCAAAAGGCCTTCTTTAGAGGATAATTAATTTAATTGGTCCTGATTAAACCGGTCTCAAAAGGTATGTATCAAAATAGGGCAGCCCAAAAAGTGGAGATTTCTCCCTACGTTTCCTTTGAACTAACCGGATAAGGCTACCGACGCGCTAGCCATGGTTTCCTGTTGGTCCTGTAAACCCACCAGAAAAAAGAAAAAACACACCCATGTGGCTGTGGTGATCAAAAACAGGTAGCCAAAATGGGTTGCCCTGGTAAATGGGTTACCAAAAACTAAAATAAAACCTGGGTGCCCTGATGATTTAATTTTGACCTCTCTGAATCCAAGACTCCCTCTGTGCGCGGCCTGAGCTGGACATCGCCCAGCATCGGCCCACACCTCAGTCGCGGCTGAACTGGGACTCGCCCCTTGTGGCGTTTAAACAATGCGTCGTGTACAATAGGAGCAGCCTTTGTCATGTTGGTTGTATATTATTTATGCAAATCATTCAACGCTAGCGAGGAGGAAGGGCACCCATCTTTCGAGCTGGTGGCGCACACCGACCTGTGTGTGTGTGTACCTCTTTTCAGGTTGGCTTGGAAGAAAGCCAGAAGGCGCACCACCATTTGTTAAATTTTGTCCATCCCCATCCTCCGAATACGATCCCTGGATCTCCAACCGGTAAACGGGGGTTCACTCAACAATTGCAAGGCGCTTGACAAGGCAAAAGCAAAAAAGGGGACAAGGGGAGTTTGAGTGGTGTGTGTGTGTGTGTGTGCGTGCTGGGTCACATGGCCTTGGCCAAAATGTAGTGTAAGGTGCAGCCGTCCCTGTCAGTTTTTAAGCTCCCAATTGAAATCTGCAACTCGTCCAGCTGCGAGAGAAGGCCATGCTTGGATACACTTGACTTCATGAACAGCAAATATGGTTGGGCGAGCCAACCAAATATGAATGGTCTTATGAGTCTTATGGTTTCCTGTAAAGAAGGACACTAGTTGAGAATGCTGGATAATTTAGCCCCCAGCGTGCATCTCCCAACATGTCCGCCATTGATCAAGCCTTGCAGCTGCTTGCGGCTAGCCAACTTCTCTCAGGAACCCGCTAAATTGCCTACGCCTGTTGCGGGCTGAGTGCTTGACGCACGTCACACGCAGACGCATGCAGACAGGTGCAGACACAGAAACAGACACACAGACACACAGACACACAGACACACAGACACACAGACACACAGACACACAGACACCTATGCTTGTATGATGGTGCCTGTCTTCCGGAAAGAAGAGCCATCGAACCGCCAAAGAGAATCTGTTTGTGCAAAACCGTTTCCAATCCAGGGCCGAAGAGATCTCGCGAAATATTGTGTGATGAATCCTTCTCGGCTTTTTGGTTGGACCCGCGGTGTGTGGAATTCAACTTTCTGAGTTCCCAGCATCAATATGCTTGCGGCGAAGAATCTCCCAGGCAGCCTGACCAGTCGGCAGCTGAATACTCATGGGGCTTCTGAATAGGGGCGGGTACTGAAAGGACCGAGCACTTGGGTCTCTCTGTGGTTGTGATGTCAAATCAAGTCAGCTGACAAATCTGAAACTTGTCTTCGCAACAAAACAGCTGGAGGCTCCCTCTCGGCTTGACGAGTCATAAGTTTGCTTCTCGATTCGAAGGAACTAATCTGGTGGTTACTGACAGTGCTTTGGGGATATGGGTTAAATAAATAATACTTAAGCGCTCCAGCTTTATGACTTCAGTTCCACTTTGATGGAGCGCCTCTTCGTCAAACAGCGCCTCTTCACTTGACTCATCTACCTCGATGCCAACAAGCTCGCTAAGACATGCGCCGCTGCGGCCCCCTTTACATGGGTCACTAATCCGGCCATGGGTCAAAGACCAAATCGTTCCCCAGTGAACATCAACCAATCCAACCACTAAAATAGGTTCTAAAATGGGTGCACCTATCCCAAAAATACGCTGCACATATCAGGCGACAAATCCAATGGCCGCTCAGACTGCAAACATATATATATATATATACACATATATCTGCTCGCAAGAGCTGTAAAATGGGCAGGTAGCCAGTCTGACGGGGCTCCGAGTATGTCCTTGGAGGGTGTACCTCAACGGTTTGACATTCATTTGCTTCTTCCTCAAATGGGCACACCATGTATTTGTTCTCGTGAGGTCTCTCTTCAGCACATGCTAGACAAAGGGCAGCCTAGAAAACAGGACACCCCATTCTCTGTCTCCTATGGAAGCTATCCACCTCCCACTAGGCAACAAGTGGCATTTCCAGTTGGACCCGTTACTCGCAACGAGTTTTTGACTGGTGGAGTCCCTTGGTTACCTACTGGAAGGGAAACTGGGGATACCTATGTTACCTACTGGAAGGAAAACTGGGGATACCTATGTTACCTACTGGAAGGAAAACTGGGGATACCTATGTTACCTACTGGAAGGAAAACTGGGGATACCTATGTTACCTACTGGAAGGAAAACTGGGGATACCTATGTTACCTACTGGGAGGAAAACTGCTGATACCTTTGTTACCTACTGGAAGGAAAACTGGGGATACCTATGTTACCTACTGGAAGGAAAACTGAGGATACCTATGTTGCCTACTGGAAGGAAAACTGGGAATACCTATGTTACCTACTGGAAGGAAAACTGAGGATACCTATGTTGCCTACTGGAAGGAAAACTGGGGATGCCTATGTTACCTACTGGAAGGAAAACTGCTGATACCTATGTTACCTACTGGAAGGAAAACTGGGGATGCCTATGCTACCTACTGGAAGGAAAAATGTGGATGCCTATGTTAGCTACTGGAAGGCAAACTGCTGATACCTATGTTACCTACTGCAAGGAAAACTGGGGATACCTATGTTACCTACTGGAAGGAAAACTGGGGATACCTATGTTACCTACTGGAAGGAAAACTGCTGATACCTTTGTTACCTACTGGAAGGAAAACAGAGGATGCCTATGTTACCTACTGGAAGGAAGACTGGGGATGCCTATGCTACCTACTGGAAGGAAAACTGAGGATGCGTATGTTACCTACTGGAAGGAAACTGGGGATACCTATGTTACCTACTGGAAGGAAAACTGAGGATACCTATGTTACCTACTGGAAGGAAAACTGGGGATACCTATGTTACCTACTGGAAGGAAAACTGCTGATACCTATGTTACCTACTGGAAGGGAAACTGGAATCCTATGTTACCTACTGGGAGGAAAACTGCTGATACCTTTGTTACCTACTGGAAGGAAAACTGGGGATACCTATGTTACCTACTGGAAGGAAAACTGGGAATACCTATGTTACCTACTGGGAGGAAAACTGCTGATACCTTTGTTACCTACTGGAAGGAAAACTGGGGATACCTATGTTACCTACTGGAAGGAAAACTGGGGATACCTATGTTACCTACTGGAAGGAAAACTGGGAATACCTATGTTACCTACTGGGAGGAAAACTGCTGATACCTTTGTTACCTACTGGGAGGAAAACTGCTGATACCTTTGTTACCTACTGGAAGGAAAACTGGGGATACCTATGTTACCTACTGGAAGGAAAACTGGGGATACCTATGTTACCCACTGGAAGGAAAAGTGGGGATACCTATGTTACCCACTGGAAGGAAAACTGGGGATACCTATGTTACCCACTGGAAGGAAAACTGGGGATACCTATGTTACCCACTGGAAGGAAAACTGGGGATACCTATGTTACCCACTGGAAGGAAAACTGGGGATACCTATGTTACCCACAGGAAGGAAAACTGGAAGTACAGGGTGTGGCCTAAAAGTCAGCACTGCACGGCTTTCGGTTTGCCTGCAAGTCTTCGGGCCCATGGCGTCGAAGGATGGTGTAGCGGTTCCTGGGATCGGCGATGAGTCCATGGGGGTCACCGAAGTTTTCTCGTGGACGTGTGATGTCCACCATATCGAAGGGTCCCTTACCTAAATTCACACTTCCTGGCCTCAGGGACATGTTTTTTTTGAGGAAATATTTGCTGGCATGTTCTATTGCTGGTTGCCCAAAACCAGGTGTGTTTGCCCTAGCCAAAGGGCTTGACCAGCCCAACTTGCCAATGGTTCTGTCATGCTCAATAGGTAAAGGGTTGAGACCAATGTGCAACTGTTTGGAGATCAACCATGGTTGATCGTCAGACTGGTACCTTTGCGGGCCAACAAGAAAAAACTGATTCATAAGCCACAAACAAGCACACAATCTGCTGCAGTGCCAAAGCGATCCCAATAGCCAAGCCATACTACGTAGCTCCTTTTATAACCCCAAGGGTTGCCAATTCAAACCTACGAACAACCAGCTATCCGGGAGCAGAATACGACAGTTTGCTTAGTCAAGGCTTCACAAGCTCACAATCAGCGCCCCCCTTCAAGGTAGTCCTCCCCAAAAATACAACCTCCCGATTAAACGCTGGGAATCCTAGCATTGGTAAAGAATCCTGTGGTTGGATTGGGGGTCCCTTAACCTCTAACTCTAACCACTACATAACTCCCCTAACCTCTAACCTTTACCCAGCGAATGCGCTATGAATCAGCCGGGGTTGACGGCGTTCCAATCCTCAGCCCGACGGGGTCGGCGGCATGCAGGCGTCTGCAAGAAAATGGCTACGCCTCCTGGGGTAGCACGTCGCCGCTAGGCAATTTGCCTGCTACTTTAGCTATGGGGGCTGCACCCGTGCGCCGCCGACCCTGATCACTTGGTCGTGATGCGTTGCCTAAATCCGGCACCTCTGCATCACCAGCTCGGCTTTGCGGTTTTGGGTGATGCTTCAGCAGGGCTTGGTCTGCATCATCGAGACTTCCTTCCAAAAAGCCTCTCAACCCATGAAGCCGTGTTTTTAGAAGGTGCCGAAGGGATATCAGCAAGGCTCATTTTTGCGAATTTGGTGCCAAGCGCTGCCGGGCATGCCGGCGATGCTGGGTCCTTGCTCTACAAAACGCCGTAAATACCGTCAACAACTGCTATGCTCAGCATGGGGCTGTTGTTCTGTCCGTTTTGCTTTTGTTGTGGCTGGCTCGTGTGCTGCGCGGTCCTGGCTTTTTGCGCTTTGGTTTTCGAGCCTTCTGGCGCGCGCGCGCGACCCCAGCCACAAAACGCTGCGATTTGCAGTGTTTTGTTGCGTTTGCGTTTCCGGGCTGGCTTGCGGGCGGTTCTTTTTGGGCTGCTCGTTCTGGGGCCTCTGGCGCGCGCGCGCGACCCCATGTGAACTTTCTGGGTTGGGGCCCGGCTGGGGCCCAGAAAGCTGGCATCCCCAGCATCATCTGGGGCTGGAGTGGGCAACATGCATAACCTAACCAGCCATATCATAGCACAGGATACGTTTCTCATAAAAAAAAAAAAAAAAAAAAAAAAACAAGTAATGACATGACATAGTATAACTTCAAAGAGGCGTAGCCGGCTAGAGGCCGCAGGCCCAAAAGATTGCAATTTTGCTCCTCCTATTTCAGTCCTGTTGACACGAGGTCTGCCAGAGAAGTGGCTGGATGACGAAAAAAACCTCTTGGGACTCCCTTCAAAGAGGTCCCCCCATTTCGGATTCCATTTGAGGTGCCCCCCTTTTGCCTCGTTCCAAAAGTCATGGAATGGTCAGGGTGGCTCCAAAGTTTAAAGTATAAGTCTTCCCACATTGTCTGTTCGTCAGCTTCGATAATTGCAGGGAGGAGTGTTTTATGGAACGGGGCTCTTCATATCTGCTGCACTTGAGCATCACCCCACTTAAAGGAAGCTCAAAGCTCACTTGAACCACCTTCCCTCTAATTGGTGGTGTGGTGGTTCAGGAGGGGAACCCCCCCATGGATCCTGGTCCACATTTCATCAACATCTAGGTCAAAATGAAGATTCGGACCGAGCCCCAGAACTTGAAATTTCATGAACTCCTTCGCTTTCCCTTTACACCAGCCCTAGAAGCCCACCAAACACCCAAAAACCAACTCATTTGGTTCCCTTCCTGCCAACCTCCGAAGACAAAACCAAAAAACAGCCTCTCTTTTGGGTTTCCCTTCTCCACCCTAAAATTCCGAAGTACCAAAAAACCAAACCAAAAAAAAACCAAAAAAAAACGCCGCGGGCGGAGCTCCCTCGATTCAGCCCGGGCGCGTGCGGCCGGGGAAGACCTGGGTCCGTGCCAGCGCCAAGCGCTTCCAGGCCTGGAGCCTCGGATCCCCGAGGCGCACAACTCTCACCGAGGCGTCCAATGCCAATGGTTTTTACATATTCCCAAATGAGGTGCGTCCATTTTTTTTATAACACAAGTGAGGTGTATGAGGTGTATGTAATGTTAATTCTTGTGTTTATATTTTCTAAAAAAAAAACATGTTTGTGTATGTATATATATTTGTATCTATATACACATACACGTAGAAAGCAACAATGCAGTGGGAAAAAAGGTCTAGTCGAGCCCTTTTCGTGGTCTTAGTGGCAAACTACAACTAAAACGTCCTATGAACCTAAGGAACCGGAGTGAACACCTAAGGACCTAGGGTCTGTGCTCTTAGGGTACCCTGAATTTGGGAAACCAAAAGGAACACCCCAACATATTATTGTTATTCTTGTTTCTTTTGGGGGGGGAAGTTTAGGGGTTCTCCTTTAACACATACCCAATTGCATCCCGCTTCTGTAAGTTAGGCCACTTGGGGTTGTCGACTCGGAACCACATGGCCATGTTTCTGTTCCTCTTTTTCTTCTTCGGGACTTGGACATAAACAAAAATTGCGGTGCCTCCATGTGCCACTTCTGAGGTCTTGTTGATTTTGGCATGTATGGCATGAAATGAACGAACACGGCTATGGGTCAAAACCGCGTACCCCCCGGTGAACATCCCAATCCCCACCAAAATAGACTAAAATGGGTGGTGCACCTATCCCAGAATTGTACTGTTGACCCACGGCCACACCAGCTATGCAGTAACCTCTGTCCATCGATCTGCTTCTGGGCTCTGAATTTCAATCGAACCCAAAAGCAAAACCCACAACTTCCCTGTTTGTTTTTTTCCGAGACCAACAGAAAAAAAAACATTATTTTGTCCAAGGGAAACCCAAAGAAAAACCCATTATTTTTTCCAAGGGAATCCAAAAAGGGACTGCCTGTGTTCTTTTTTTGGGGCCGGTGAGGCGGGTCACTCCGAACTTCCCAGCCCGAGTTCTCAGCCGCAGGCCCAAGCTCCAGCCCATCGCTGACCCGGAAGTGCGGCGTGCTCAGCGCCTGCGGGTGAGTGGAGGGGTTGGGAGGGGTGGCCTTTTGAATTTTATCGCCTCCCTTGAAACGGGCTTCCCCACTTGCCCGGTTCGGACCTGCAAGTAAAAGGTGATCAACTTTTGGGACCTCTACTAAAAATAAGCCAAAAAGGGAAAACCAAAAGGTCAAAAGGTCGGCTTTGAACAACTGAGTTTCTGCATGTTTCTACACTACCAGGGGGGCTGCTTATTTATTTCAGTGGAAAAGGCAAACCACGGTTGGGAGAAGTACCTAGGGGTGGGGGGGGGGTCCCCAACTCCTTTTCTCTGCTCTTGGCCATAAAAGGGAAGATGCAATTCCAGGGGTCACCCCTCCCGCAATTCCATTTTTCAGGGGTGGCATGGGTAAGCCAACTCACCTGAGTGGATTGGCGCATCTGAAAAGCTGTTGTTTGACACTAAACTGGTCTCTGAAAAGAAAACGTTCCAGGGACTTAGGGAGTGAGTGAAGAGACTGACTAGACCATTGTGAGGCAATTGTGCCATCTGCTTTCACTCAAGTGAAAGTTATACATATAGCCAGGATATACAACACTATCATGAGACGTTTCAATCAAGGATTTGTCAAATGTGTGTTTACCCGTGGCCAGGGAAGGGCTCCAGCACGTGTTGTGTGTTCCAACGAACTCGTTGCTACGCTCCCTTACATTCCCTTCTTCAAAGCGCCAGCCATTCGGGCAATTTCTCATAGGCCCTATCAAAACATCGTTGCCTTTCCAGTGAACTCGATTTGTGTGGAAACCTGCCAACTTCCAAACACTTTCCGTCTAACTGTCGTTATTTGCTCACTTCACGTTGTCAAACGTGAAGTGAGCAAACCGACATTTCCTAGACGGAAAGTCTTTGGAACTTCCCCGTCCCAAACCTCTCAATCTTGGCCCCAATCTTGGGCCCAAGCCTCTAGGTTTCAATAGTCTAAAAGGTGCAAGCACCCTGGGCAGTCTTCTGAACATCTTATCCGGAACTAACGTTTGGAAAACTATTGCTGCATAGCGCAGGTAAAGCGTGGCCTCATGCGAGGCTCTTAAGCCTCAACGTCCCGTGAGGCTGCCCTGGCTAACTCAAAGGGAAAAGGAAACAAGCTCCGAAGGCGATGTGGATCCCAGGTAGCTCAAGGAAGCCGACTTTGACTGACCCAATGTACCAAACTCGGCCAACTTCAAACGCGTCAGCTCCGAGCGCTCGATCCTGCCTGCCCCACCCAATAGCTGGCCTCAGATCGCATAAGCCAAGCTCAACTCAAGAGGTCTTGTTGCTGGTGCGTTGTAGGGTTCCAGGACGCAGTCAACATGGCAAACTTCGTATGACCTCAAAACATGGGGCTGGCCCCCAAACGACCTGCCCCGAAAAGGTCGGCGGTGCTTCAAACCTAGTAGGAAACTGCGACAGATTCCTAGAATATTGCTTTCATACAAGCACAATCCAGGTGGGACACCGGTCACGAGATTCACACTCCAGTTGGCAAATCCAACCAGCCAAGTTTGGCATGCCAACCATCCTACCCCAATTTGTTTGTGTAGGACCTGGCCTCATCAGGTGCCTGAAAAGAGAGGATTCAGTTGCTTAGGGTCCCAGGACATACCCTCAGTTCAGCATTGGCAAGAGGGCTCCATTTTTTGCTCGATTTCTCAGCACCTTGGACGCCAAGGTGCACAAATGGCTCGTCTGTTGGACCAACACGTCGGCCATGAATCGTGGATCATACGTGGCCCCTGTCTTCCCCAAGACAAGACCACCAACGCCCAATGAAGCCGCCAAGTTCTGACAAAGCAGCGCCCCGTCTTGCGATTTCCCTGCCAGTTGGGCATGGCTTCGGAAGCCAAAGAGTCGGCATACCTTAGCGCTTTTTCGCCTCAGCTTGTTGGGGGCTCGCTCGCAAGAGACGCAGCCCATGGGTTTCTTTGTCGCCGCCTAGCAGCTCACTCTCTGCGCATGGGCAAGGCAGACTGATGGTTTCGAAGCTTCGAATTCCCTCTTCTCAAACATCTGGAAAGTGGACACTTGGAAGACATGATCAAAACCGAGCGGTACTGAAATGGTCCCAGAACCATGCTTCAAGAATGAAGAAAAGGCGGAGATCCGCAGCGATTTATAGTTGGGATTGTCCCTTACTAACCTTCATCTACCCAGGATTTGATTGTGGCTCACTTGGAAGACTACATAAGGCCCACCTCCGAGAAAGGGTACAAAGGGTCAATGCTATTCAGGACACACCATGGCAAAAAAATGCCTCTTTTTTTGTTTGTTCAGGCATCCCTCAAGACTTCAAGACCAGAAGGAAGCCAAAGTTCAGTGAACGGTTTGAACTGGCCGCCACTTTGGTTCATTCGAGGCCGCCGCCGGGATTTTGGCGTAGAAGTGCAGCCTGAGGAAACTGCTCCTTTTGTTCATTCGGCTCAAGGGAACCGCAAGATGGTACCTGGAAGAGATTGCCATGCCCCTGGAGGGAAACACGCGAACAAAAAAAAAAACTACCGATGGTCTACCGCTGTGCTTTTGCCAGTGCTCTGATGTTCGAGTCAAAGCCGGTTGAGGGAAAGCAGCAGCTAGCATCAAATCAGAGGCACCCAAAACGCGACTCTGTCTTCCACCCCCTTGAGCGTGTGGCACGATTGCTTAAACATAGGGTTGCACACATCTGCAAACTGTGCAATACCTCCAACACCTGAACAGAGTGGCCACTTGGAAGAGCTTGGCTAGTGCTAAACTGCCAAAGAGTGGTCCAGAAAAGTGGGGGATCTCTGAGTCTTGCTGAAATGGCACTTGTTCTGAGACTAGTTCTGTTTTTTGTGGACCCATTTCACCAGCGCGCATTGCGCGCCTTAAAATCATATAACTTCTCCCAAGGATATTGCGGCAGCGAGGCAAACACACAAGTCCTTGGAGGTCGTTGCGCCCCGAGCCAAGACATCAATTGCCTGGTTGCCAATGTAGGGACACGCAACTCTCCTAGTAACCTTCAACCAAATGTGCCTGTCACCAAGTATGTTGCACACACTTCTGTACTTGTATGTAGAGTAGAGTACGGAGAGTGTACATACTATACATACAGTACGTAGAGTGTACATGTATCAACAGGCATATCCCTGACCATGAAAAACACACCTGCAAGTGAAAGACTGTCTGTGCAAAGCAATGGTCAACGCTCCCTGGGCAACTTGCAAGGCTTCTACCCGGTCCTGCTCAAGCTTGAAACTTGGACAAACAATTTTAGATCCTTTGTAAGAACAACATCAGCAACCTTACAATCAGCAACCTTGAAAGTATATTTACCTGCATGGCTACTACAGTTTGTATGAGTTGAATGTGATAAACTCATACAATAAATGAACAATGGTGGATACAATGTCCATTATGCACCACCTCCAGATTCTGAGATTAAGGACGTAACTAGGACAATATATCAAGCAGAAAAAATATGATAGGACAATTGTTGACTCTAGAATATACCACTTCTGGAGATCCTTGGAAGATGGGTACACAAAACATGTTCAAGTCATCCAAACAAGCACGCAACGTTCATAAGAAGTTCTGATACTCTGGAGATATAATCCGATTTCCTGATTAATATAATTGTATTTCTTATACTGATATTAATGTAGCGGAGATTTTAAAGATGAATCCAAACAATAACAAATAGATTCCTAAGCCTGTGTGATTACAACGTTTTACTAGTGAATGAAGCAATATCAAACAATCTAGTATGTCATGATTGATTGTCCAATCATATGTTTCCCATGCTTCTTGCCAATATCTTCCTAGATGAAGATCTCTATCTGCTTCGAGACTCATCAAATGGCTGGGGGGACTATCGCGGGACGGATCCTTCCAAGTGGTCCAGAACACAATCAATATTTAGCGATAGGCGATGCTGCACGGGATTCTTTGGTAGGCGCGACATTGGATCTGCTCGAAAGAAAACTTCCGACGGTCACTGCAGCTGCGCCAAAAGAAAAAGGTGTCAACATGAAGCCTGGCAAACCAAGAAGATTCCCTTACATTTGGGTGTGTCTCAAAGTAGGGCCAGAAAGGCCCCCCCCGGCCCCCCCCCCCCCTCAAAAAAAAAGGCTGGCGTCCTTTTAGTTTCCTATTAAAACCAACCTAAATTGGGTACCCTCAAACAGACGCCCTTCAGTTGGGGGCGCCCTCGGTCTCAAACCTGAGGTCCCGGCTTCATCCCATGCCTGAATTGCGCGAAGCAAAGTTGGCGCAAGATCCGTCTTGCAGTCTTGCATTTCATTGACATGGCTCATCATCTACTTGGAGCTTGGGGATTTCCATGTAAGGCCCAGCTTAACCTGAGAATCAGCAAGGGCTTTGAACATCACTTGAAGGTGCAGCCAAGCTTAGCCAGACATACAAACAAGGGTATAGTACTCACCCTAGCAACGGAAGCCAGTCTGAGGAGAAAAACACATGTGCAGTTACTCGTCCTTCCCACATCATCTCCTAACTGCAATTTCCACAAGGTGCTCACCTTGAACGAATGCACACTTCAGTTCACGGTGGCTACAGAGGCGTGGTCACGAACTTCACGTACACAAATGCGTCAAAGAAATCATCTGGCAGACCCCCAAAACACCCAAACCATCCCGAAAAGCACTCCTGACCACAGAAACACCGAAACCGGCGCTAAAAACACCCTACCCAAATCATCCCTTTGTGGTTTCATGTGAATTTTGCCTGTGTTCTTCAGCACCCATTGAATAGCCCCTAAAGCCACACACGGCCCACTACACTCGCTATGTGGTCAAGGCTTAGCTTCTCCTCGAAAGGTCAAAGAAAAACGTTGGGAGAACAGCCGCAGGTCTGCAATGATCACAGTAATGTTGACCCCGGATTAATAAACCCCTGTTTATTAATATGGGGGTGTTCCCCTCCAAAAGTGATAAATCCCCACTAAAACCGGGGACACCCCCCTATTAATAGACAGGGGTTTATTGATCCGGGGTCAACATTACAGAGTACTTGGGAAGGTCCCGGTTCCCACGATGTACCCGCATGGCAAATCCTATTTCGCGGTGACGGCACCCAGCGCCCACAGCGAAGCAAGCTTCCCGTGAAAGGCTCAACCGAAGAGTAGACACGTATCTAGTCTCAAGTGACCACTTTGTGTGGGTTCAACGGGGAAAAAAAAAAAAAAAACGGCTTGTAGGGTTCAAGTCGCAGATGTTAACAATGTTGACACCTTACCCCAAGATCTCTTGATACGTTGACCCAAATCCCCACAGGTCCAACGCTCCCATCCGATTGGCCCTCTCGCTCCCGACGGCCCGGCCTTCGGGAGCCCTCCGACTCCTCGTGCAGAGCCTGCCTGAAGCGCACCTCGGTCCCGAACCCCGAGGAACCCAGCTGAAAAACATCGGGGGAGAATGGGTCCTTTTATCCCCCCTACCTTCAAGACCCTACCTTCAGGGGGGGGGGGGGGGGTTCCCGAATTCCAGTTATCTCGTCTTCCCCCTCAAGGGAAAATGGAGCCATATGTCCTTTTACTCACTTGAGCGAAAAGATTGGCCAGATCTGAACTTTTGTGCTACTAAAATGGTCTTCGCAAGTCCAGGAGCTCAGAGAGTGAGTTTCTCAGGTGGAACACAGACAAACAAGGCGAAGCTAAGGTGAACTGCATGACGGGATCAAACAAGCATGGATTTACTTGCTATGTCCGCCTGGTCAAACATGTTCTAGCCAAACCAGCGTGGTTGCCTAATAACCGCTTCGCGATCGATGCTTCCCACAACAAAACTCTGGCGGTACTATGCAGTACTCCAAATGGATCCAAGCTTCCTGCTGCCTGTCAACAGAACATAAGTGTTAAGTGTCCCAAAGTTGTTTCAGATCGCTCAAACCGAGTATACAATACATATGATGGCTGCCTTGAAGTCAACAAATGTCATTATGAGTCATGCCTGTGTCTTGCTGCAGCCTCTGTGGCCGCAGCCTCTGAAGGAAGGACACCGTCGTTTTTTCAGCGGGCCTCTGGCTCCAACAACAACACCTCATTCCCTCCGATTCCTCCGATTCCTCATGCCTCATGCCTTCGCCAATCAAAGCAACGAAGGCGCAGGACTGGATCATTGCAACGATTCCACGGACTTCGATCTTGGACAATCAACAAACTCTGGGGCGGCGTGGGGCGAAAAAGCCATGCAGTGAAAACAAAACAAAAAACACACCGGGGTGGGGGATGGGGGGAGGGCTGGACATGAAGAAGCGCCTGAAGAAATACCCGTCTGTTGGGCTCACTTGAAGTCCAATTTGTCTCAAGTGGCAGCAGTTTCTGCGTGCACTCGCGCTAACATACCAACCATTCCTGTTTGTGTTGAACCGGTAGACGTTTGGCAACAAAAGAGAGGACTCATTGCAAAGCTTGCACAATTGGTTGCCTTCAAGTTCCTGTAATTAATGGGTCCCATGATGAATGAGACCAGCTGCATTTCCATGTCACAGGGCCGCGAACGGGTCACTTGGGTGTCTCCCAGGATTCAGGGAGCACCCCCCCAACAAAAAAATATATCGTTTTCGTTGGCGTCTTTATTCCAAAGCCGCCCTAAAATACAAAGGAAAGGCTTGAGCTCGTGATTGCACAAAATGAATGATTTTTCTTCCCGTGGTCATCCTTGTAGCTCTCACAGTTTCCCGTGGTTCCTTTTGAAGCCAACAATTGTTGAGGGCATTTTAGTGGAACTCAAGGGAAGTAGAAGAGACATCATCCATTTCGGAGGGGGTTTCAACACATACCCACAATGGACGGGTTTCCCATTAGATATATATAGTTTTCCTTTCGAAGTGAGATAGAAGTGTGGAACTTTCTGTCTACCACCATTTAATTTGTTTCCCAAGTGGGTGAGTCTTTTTTGAGGGTGCCCGCTAGTTTTACACGGAGCCGAAAAGGAAAGTCATCCATTTTGGCATTTTGGGGAGGGTCCCCCGAAGAAAAGAGCAAAAAGCAAAAAAACGTCACACCCAAGTACGACATCCGCAAAGCTGGGAAGTGAGGCGTCCCCTTGGCTTTTCCAGAATCGCCAGCCAGAAGCTGATAGGCTCAGATCCGTGCCTCCAATGCGTCCAGCTCCCCCGGCTGAGCTTCCTCCTCCAAAAATCGCAAGCCCACTCCAAAGCCAAGGGGTTGAAGGGCGGATGGCGCGGTGGTTTTTGCAGTTAGAGCGTTTTTTTTCCAGAAGGGGTGCTCCCTGGGATAACAATGTTTTGTAGCATTTTCATATTAAAATCACATCCCCACCAACACCCGGTCTCTTTTTTCTCTTTTTCTTGGGGGGGGGGGGGGGGCGGGGTCGTTTGGGAAGTCGCGTTGTGTATTGCAAGCCCAGCCAGCATTTGCAACGTCAAGTCATCGGGTTTAACCCGTCACGCACAGCGAAGGGGTGATCAAAACCGTGGCATACTTGTACGGTTTTAGGGGGTACAAGCAGCTTGCTGCAAAGGGCGCTGGTGCATAACGAGGCCATGCAAGATCCTGTGTTCGAAGAAGTTTCTGCAAAACCAGTGGAAACTCCACGTGTACTTCCGTCTGCCCTGCCCGGATAGGGCAAGAAACTAGAAGCAGGCAATGAATGAAACAAAACAAGATGTTTTGATGGTTGCCCACAAGCGAGTCGTGAGAAAAGCTAGGCAACTTTGGTGAATTGCAAACAAGCAAAGGATTGATCTGGGAAAATTAATTGCAATTCAGAGCCGAAAATAAGGGATCCCCATGAACAAACCTTGATCATGGGTGTCGTCGCAACCCATAATGAAGGTGAGGTCGTTATGGCTTGCCGATCCATATTGATACCACACGCAGACTGCTTCCGACAGATGGGACACACATCTTCAAGGTGATGAGGTCTCCCAGCCAGGAAATGTCTTCCACACATGGACAGGTTCAATGCATGTTTTATTGGAATCCTTACCCGACATGGACTGCTGTGTTCGATCCACTCAATATGTTTCACAAACCGATCCAGGAGATATAGGAGTGTCAATATCAAATAAGGGAAAATCCGTTGGTGGATATAATTTAGGGGGATTTCTGTCCGCCAACCACCTTTGAGGAGATCGAGATTAACAGCCATATCTTGGTTGGACTGGGCAACGAGCAGCGGGCAAGGCTTTCAGGAGTCATGATCTTGAGCAAACCAAGCAAACCAAGCGGCAAAGCAACTAGAAAGAGGCCAGCCATGAAAGTCTCATTCATTCATCCTCACGGGATGCTCCTGAGCATTGACCCTGGCTCGGATTCGCTGCAAGACCTCGCGAAGGGCAAGGCCGCGATGCCGATCACCAAAACCAAGGGGTGACCCCGTTGTTCGCACAAGATGGAAACTCGCGCTAGCTCTCTGCTTTTTGAGGAGGTTCCTTCTCCCTACAATCTCGAGGGCAGTCTGGCTACCTTCGGTATCACCTCTTTTTGAGTCTGTGCAGGAAAGTTGCGAAACGTGGTGCGGTTGTGTTTCTCCGAGTTCTGACAGTCCTTTGCAAGCCAGCATTGGTTTGCGGTAGATGTGGCCTGAATCACATGCGATCAACCTCTGAAGAAGTACTACTGGTCTCTGAGCGTGCTGGAGTTCGCTGTTCGCAGCCTTTCTTGTTTTTGTTTTGCACAACCTCCTTACTCTTCCTGCTGTAGCTCTTTCAAACCTCTTCCCCAAAAGGAAGCTCCCTCCCGGACAAACAGGGCACCACGGGAGGTCTGGGAAAAACCTCAGCTGTCGTGCTGACCAAACTTGTGCGGCTGAAAGCCCTCTTCGTTTCCTGGTTGCCTAACAACTGGGCGGCGCTTTTTGCGCTGTTCTGCGCAAATTCAAGAGCGCACATCGTAGCTGTGCGGTACAAGTAGACAAAGCACACCCTAGGCAGCTCCAGCTTCCAGATCGCAATTTGCCAGTCCGAGTGTAGTACTAAATACCTCTTGGAAACTCAAGCTCGGTAAAAAAAACAATTGTTTGGAAGCCATCCTGGCTTTAAGATTCGTCTCTTCGGTGTAGACGCACACACCGTATTTGAAAGCTGCAACCGCCAAATACAAAACTGAATGCGAATTGCTTGTTAGTAGCACCTTTGCAAACTTCTGCAAACAAGCACCTTACCCCAGAATCCTGTTGCCAGGCAACAAACTGACCAATGCGAAAACGCAGCTTGAAAATCAGGGAATCGCATGTTACAGTGTTCCTTCCAAAAAGGCGGCTTTAATTGAAATCACTTGCCCACTGGATGCCTACTGGTTTAACATACCTTGAACATGAAGGATATGCATTGGGTCATCACTGAAAGTGGCTGCCAACAACTGGTCGGAATCGTTGCAAAGGTGTGTTTTGGTCCGTACCTAGCCTTGTTGAGAATTCACAACGCCCTGTGGGTTCCTGAAAAATGACATCCTTAGAAAGAATCCATAATATCCTTTTGATTTTAGGGGGTGGGGTTGGAACATCCATTCTATAGTATAACAAGTTGGTTTTGGATAAAGCGTCTACAAAATGACGAAGTTTGGAGAACACACTATCTACAAAATGGGACGCCGACTTCGACGGAGCGCTTTTCGTTGTTGCCACGTGATCAAACATGAAGTCACCTGAGCTAGGGGTCTGTGTCATGGCAGCCACCAAGGAAATCCCATGTCATGTTGCATTTTGCAGTGGGCGAGCTGCCAAAGTTACCAAACTTGATTTCGGCAAAATGAACTACACAAGCACAACCCCTCAACACGGCCCACAAAGAAAAACAAGAGACATGTATATACACTCTACAAAATGCAGGCATGTTCCAGCAACTCGTGTTGTGGACCAAAACTAGCTCACTGCAAAATGGGTTTGCTACATGTGTGCACCCAACCTGAGGCGTGAGCCAGGGTTTCCGTCTGGAGGTCAACCCCTCCAACGTTGCAGCGGAAATCCAAAGAACCAAATCAACAAATCACAAACCCGTCCGGAGCAGCTCCTCTTCGCACGCCTGAAAAACCAAAGCCTTGAAGCTTCCCGGCCTCAAGGAATTGCTGAGCCTTGCCCAGCTGCGTGGTCATGTTGGTGCTAAGGCGGAAGGGCCCAGCCATGACCTCAGGACAAACAAAAAAAGGCGTAAGCTCTCCCTGCGATTGAGTGTTGGTTGGTGGGTTGGTTGTGCGATTGGTTTGTTTGTTTGTTTGTTTGTTCTTTTGTTTGCTGGTTTGCTCGTGCGTTTGTTTGCTTTCCGTGTTGCAACACAGTGGTTCACTTGAGCAGTCTGCGTTTGCAGAAACAAAATCTTCAAATGGAGGATTTGTACCGACAAATCCCATGAACATGTACAGCAAGAAGGCTGTGATGGTTTGTGATTGTGTGATCTTTTGCTTGTGTTCCTTGTTTTCGCGTGCAACCTGCGCCCAACCCTCCCCGTTGTCAGCGAGCCTCGCACCAGTGGCATAGAGCACCTCCAAAAAACAAGCGGCCTACAACGCCACGCGCGGACGGCGTAAACGGCACGTGGGCCCATCACGTAATCTGTACCTGCAAAGCGCGCTGCCACACTCTCACGCATGTTTTCTCGCATGCATTCATTCTTTCATCTATTCATCTTTGTACAGGTTCATGAGTGTTGTAACACTGAAGTTCCTTCAAAACTTCCTTTGATTACTCAATAATTAACTGTGATAAACGAACCCCGAAAAATGAAAAGCGCAAAAAGGTAGGTCAAGCCTGATCATGATGAAAAATCAGAGGCAACATCCTGGGTCATGTGAGAATGAGGAAACATCAGGGGAATCAAAGTTCTGCTATTTAAATTCCGAACTCGGAACATTGCTAAGACATGTGTCACAATGGTTGCAGCTTCAAACTTGAAAGTGATATTGTGCGTGCAAGTACTTTCGGGACAAGGACCGCGGTGAACCAAAATCGGGCAACTCACGCAAATAAACAACACGTATGCTGTGCCTTCAGCAAATGTTCAAATCTCTGCATCTATGTCTTGGTGGGATTCATGATCCACGGATAAATCACAAATTGGACATCTGGAATTCCCATATGACTGTTGTCATGGGTAAGACTTTACTCCCCCAGGTGAGCTCGTAATCGGCCTGTGGCCGGGGGGTTGGTCACTAAGCAAAGTGCCACACGATTTGTGCAGCTAGAAAGCCACGTGTGCTGATTCACTACACAATGTTGAGGAAGCATTCAACATGGTATATGCGTATAGTACGTGTATATAAACATATATATATATATATGCTGGAGCGGGAGGGGACCACGTCATCAAACCTATATTATCACGTATACGCTGTGTGTATATATAGTACAAATACATAAACATATATATATATGTATGGCTAACCCTATACATATATTTATGTGCCCTTTGAACAAGGGCTAACATGAATCATAAAAGCGGTCCTAGCCAAGCTCAATAACATGTGCATGTAGGTCTTGTCTCGATTACTATGTGTTCTTCTCCAACGGCATTTGCATTCAGTACGTGTTGCAAGCGCCTTGGCCAGTTGGTCACTACATCAGGTTCGAGCGCACTAAGCAAACAACTAAACAAGACATTTGCCGCCTACGTGTCTTCCCCAGATCAAGCTAGACTAGTCTCCGATCTGAACCTCGCGCACTCCGGGCAACAGGCGCTGGCGCGGTAGAGGGTCTTTCCGACCTCAAAGATTGCGAAATTCACCCAGGATTAACCCCCTGGTTGATTCTGATCGAGTTCCATGTTGGGGAGAATCCTTCAATTTAAGGCGAATTGATTCCGTGGACATGTTTCACACGAGCAACACTTCTAGGGGCAACTTTTTCAAGCTCGCCTCCCAAGCCGAAAAGAATCCGAGTCAAAATTATCCCCAAGCGTCTGCAAGCAGTTGTCATTCAAAAGCTGGAACGGCATGCCCATGGAACCATGGGGCATTTGTGGAGTGAACTCGCAATCGGCTGCCTTGGTTCAATTTCAACGCCGGCCTCAGAGTGGATTGGCCACAAAAGGTGAAAGCCTTGTCTTTGCGACTCAGATGATCTTTCTGAAACTTCGGGAAGGGAAGAGACGCATGCCAGTCGGGTGGCAGGCACTCTTTGGCACCTTTCAATAGCACTGGTGGTGCTTCGAACGATCTTGGAATCTACAAGTGCTTCATGTCATAGCAAGCATCACATTCAGATCAACTGAGTTTGGATCAAAACTCTATCTACCAGGGGACCGCAGGTTTGAGTTCATGTTTCATTTGCCAGGGTTCCAATTTTGGGTACCTATTTTTGACCCACGAATATGTCTGTGACATTCGGTCTGAGGCCACTGGCACGCCGGTGGACATGCACACCCGCGCCGACTTTACGACGACTCCTGGGCGATAGGCGAGGTTGCAGCCGTTGACCCCAGCGAAGTGTCAACAGGGGGCCCCCTGTTGGGATCTCCGAAAAAGCGGTAGAATTCGGCAGGGTCCAACAAGGGGCCATACTGTTGACAACCCCGCTGGTGCCACTTGTTGCTCAGCATGCGTATATAACAAGCATGGTTGTGTTTTCCCGGTTTAATGTACTCATGTGTGTGTGTGTGTGTGCGTGTGTTTAAGTAAGCCAGCAAGCACGCAATCAAGCAAGCAAGCGAGCGAGCGAGCGAGCAAAGTGGGCAAGGAAGCAAAGCAAATCAAAGCAAAGGAAGGCAAGGATCGAAATCGGATCGCGGCCGCGCAGGGAAGGAAACTGTTGCTTGCCTGCACTTAACAGGGCGCTCATACCTTTTTCAACCAGGAAGGTTTCGTATTGTGAGTGAATGTGGTTTTGAATTTCAACCCCGCGCACAGGATTCAAATTGACGTTTTATGTCACCGGCCAATTTGGAGGGCGCTCCCCATTAGAGTTCATAGACAAATATGTACTTTGTCCCTCCCATGCGCCTGCAAAGTTTGGGTGCTTTTCTGCTGAGGCTCTGCATCCTAAGGTCGCAAAGCTGCGGACTGGCAGATGAACTAGCTCCAGTTCTGTTGACTTAGCATCTCAAAAGCTTTGGAGCCACCTTCTGTTAACATCACCTAGAAGATAGTGGCGTGTCTCATTCTTGCAGGGCCGGTGTTGCTAATGACCTAGTTCTAGGGCTAGCTTCCCCACTCTTTCCAGGGATCCTTCTTTTCAGGAAACCATCAAAAACCCGGGAACTCGGCTGATTTTTGAAAAGAACGATGGTTGAAAATAATGCACCGGCAAAATGAAGAAGGTGAGCGGAGTTCGAGAGTGCAAATCAACACGGTGCGCCAGGCACACTGATTGTGGATGCCAAACAAACGGAATGAGACCCTTTCAGGGAGTGGCAACTATCGAAAGCCGAATTAGGGGACAAGGCCATTGCTTTTGTATTTGGCAGGACAAACCTAGGGGGTAACATGGATCATTGATTTGCCTTTCACCCAGCAAAAGTTAGTCAATGTAACATGTCCATGTGTGAGTGCGGGCGGAGAAAAACAGAAACGGCTGCCCGGAAGGTGGACACGAATCCGAAGATCCGAGGCTTGCCATTGTGATGGTTCTTCCCGCTGTTGTTCTTACGAAGCCATGCAAAAAAAGGGTCAACTCATCGACATTCCCAGCACGAGCATGTGCTCAGCCCAAAGGACCTGGAACTAGGTTCACCTTTTGGGGCCATGACTATGGACCATGGGAAAACCAAAAGGTCAAAAGGTCGGCTTTGAACAACGAGCATGATGAGAATGTGCAACGCACACGCCGACAATCCCACCTCAAGGGTTCACAACCCATCTGTAGCGCCACGAGCGAGGACCTGCGCCTGATGGAGCCTGGCTGGTGACGCGAAGGATCCCGCTGTGTGCAGGGCTAGGCAACTCCAAGGTGAAAGTACATGGCGGGTAAGTAAAGGGGATAACTATGAGAACTTCATCATGACGGAATTGTGCCATCTTGGCTTCACCTTGATTACTTGATTCTCACCTGAGAGGGCGAGGGGCGGAACAGCTTCCCTGCTGTTTGGCTAATCATTGATGACCAGGTGCAATGGTCGTTTCAACAAAACAGGCACTCAAAATTGTTGGCAAGAGCTGGCACGGCTGGGACACCAACTAAAATGAACCTAAACTGTCCTGTCAGCGGCGGTGACGCGACAGAAACGCATGCAGTATTGTCTACAAGGCGAATCTCCATAGCCCTTCACAACAGGAGTAGCGAGCTGCTGAGCCCAAAAACTTGGGCGAGCCCCGCACGCGATACACATCAAGAGATCCCTGGAAAAGCCGCCAGACGCATACACAAACACACCAAAACCGACCGACCAACCGGCTGACGTTATGGTGAACCTGCTTAGCCGGATATGGTCACCGTGGTGGTTCGCCGGTGTGGTGGGACATTCTCGAATTGAAGGAGTCCCGGTTCGAGCATTTGTTGGGTCGGATTGGGGCATTCGGCTCTCACGTCCAAGCCGGTTTCTCTGGTGTGCGTTTAACCAATGGATTCGAGGGGTACCTTTTTCGGGGGTTGGCCCCACCATTTTGGGATTCCCCAGTGTCATGGGTCTCAACAAATGAAACTTGGCTGCTGCTCTTGCTTTATCAAATGCAAACGCAAACTTCTTTGTGGGGAGGAAGAAAGGCAGACCATGCCAGGAGCCTCTCCTTGACTTTCTGCCTCTTTGCCTTTCTTCTTCTCTGCGACTTTGCCATGTGCTGGTTTGCCTCTCTGTTTGTCAGGCACTTGGTCATCTGGTTTAAGAGGGTGGCTCAGTCCACAACAAATACAAACAATTGGCAGTTGATGTTAAGCCCCGCCCAAAAAAGAAGAAGAAAAAAAACAAAAAAAAACGAGTGAACATGTTGAAGTCGATGGTCAAGTAGCCCCCTCTCCGCAAAACATCAGAAAGGCAGTTGAGATCTGGGTCCCTTGTCAAAGGTTCAAGCAACCAACCAACCAAGCAAGCGGGGAAGCAACCAACATTCCTCACCCTTGGCGCAACTTGCGCCTCGGGCTGCCTTTTGCTTTGCCTGGCGGCTGTTGTGGGGACACGCACGCGCATGTCACATGACCTCGAAACTCTTCCAGGCAACAAACCAACTATGCAGCTAACCCGACTTGCGAGAAAAAGTGTGTTTAAACTGTTGGAGCCTTTGCTATCATGATGAAGACATCTACCCAAGTTCAGAGTTTGGAAAACATGAACGAGCAAGTAGCCCCACTGCCCACTCTACACTGTGTCAGCTCATCCCTTTGTCAATATACTGTTTCAGCATCACCACTGTCAAAATCACATAGCCGCACCCCGCCATACACTGCCACTTCTCGGTATTTTTGCTTCCTCTATATTGGTACTGCGTGGGAACGACGTGAGCCAACGACATGAGCCCTGTGCGTCGATCGTGCGTGTGAGGGTCGAAAAGCTCGTGTTCTGTTGCGTTTATCTTGATCCTCCATGAACCCTCGGCGTGAATCGAACAACGTGGAATTTGGTGTTTACCTGGATTCCGGATGAGCCCTTCGCGTGGATCGGGAAGGGAAAGGGCCCTTCCGACACCAATCCCGGCACTCCGGAGATGGAAGTTACCTCAAACATGGCCTGAATAAGGGATAAGGGAAGCTGCTCAAAGATTCTGTGGAACCCCCACAAGGCAGAAATCCCATCATTTTGAACCTGACCCTTAAGAGTGTCCCGGGGTTTTGGGTGCAACCTTTGATTGATCAAATGGAGTAGCTCGCCACTCCGTCCCAGGGGTACTTGAGTAAAAAGGTGGTGCTTGGAGAGAATGGTCCCGCCTGCTCCCTGTGCAACGCGGTAATCAAACTGTGAAAAGAATGTGGCAGCCTGCCCATTTAGCGACCCAGACAGAAAATTGGCCAAGGCCAATTTTGCAGGGCTATGAAGATTTCTAGAGAAGTGTTTGATGCTTTGGGTTGCAAACCCAACCCAAATCTGGGCAGAGAGATTCGGGTCGATGTTTTGCATAACAGTGTCAGCCAGGGCGGTTGGTTTAAGATAGCTTCAAACTAAAAAAGCCAGTGATTCAATTCCCTGTGTGGTAGACCATTTTTTTCAAAATCAAAAGGAAATTGACTGGTTACTTTTGCTGGTAGCTAGGATTCTTGGAAAGGTAAGTCCACTCGTATTTTGTAGCACCGCCTAACTGTTTCAACTGACACGAAAGTTCCACCAGCAGGAGCCCGCTTGGCGGAAGAGAAGATGCTTGCAGATCGGCGCGATGCTTGTTTGCCGGGGTAGGTCTTTCGAAGTTATGTCCAATGCGAAAGCTCACGGCAGCTCATTCGTAAAGATAACTGTCAATCTAATCGTCCGCGACTTCTGCAAGGTACCAATCCTGAGGCCATCCCTGAGGATTTCACTTGCCCCGTGCTGAACGAGTTGGACATTCACAACGTCAAGGTCCCGATGTTCTGCCAAGAGCTTCTTCAGGTCTGCGACCATCTCGAAAGGAGCCATGCGAAGCTTCAGCTCCGCCCCCCCAGCAATCGTGTCTACTTGAACATCTCGACCCATGACCATGGCCCAAAGATCCAAATGATCCGGATCAGACGTCGAGGCAAGCCAGCACTCCACACAAATCATGCCGCACAATAAGCAAAGCAGAAAGGGAGGCTCGTCCACGCAACAGAACATGAGGCCGAGCACCACAAGGAGCAGCATTGAACCTGCTGCAATGTGCCCATAGTAGCTGATTCGGGAGCGCAGCTGGGCGCAGAATGCCAAGCAAGGAATAAACACACAAGAAAGGAAGGTGTCGGTCGCGTATGCGAACAGCGCAACTTGCGTTCTCCTCGCCCAAATCTCCTCACGTTCGCCCGGCAAACGCGGAGCTTTGTACTTCGCCTCTTCTGGCGGGATGAGGAATGAACATGCAATGGTCACCACAACACCGCCCAGAAAGAGCATCCCCGGCGCCCCAGCGGTGGCCATAACATAGGGCGAGCAACGCCACAAAGCGAGCAAGCCACTACTAGCGACGGTATAGCTTGCTACTCGCATTTCCATGCGGCCAATCCATGCTCTCCAGGAGTTCTTCCGCTCTTCCTCCTGCCTCAGCCTAGCCGCTTCCCGCTTGATGGCCTCCTGGTGCTTCTGGTGGGCCATTTTCTGAAAGCCTTGCGAAATCCAAAGGCACCAACATGCCACCAACAGGTTTGCAATGATAAGAACAAGAGACACACGAGCGCGACGCGCCATCTGGACTGAAATGATCCATGAGCTGCCTGCTGAAGTTCAGCGATTAAAATGCCAACAAAGCACAACTGATGCTGATGATGGCTGCGTGGGGAGATGCCGACGAACGTGTGGCCACAAGCGGACCCGTGGATCCACGAAATATGCTAAAAAACTAGTTCATCCTCTCGCTTTGCAGGAAGTCATCCTTACCCCTTAAAACTCCAAGCCCTGGGGAAGTTAATCTTTTACAGACATATAGCCCATGTTACCCAAAAAGTTGAAAAGTTGTGTTTTTAAGAGGTAAGCATCTTTTCATGCTCTGCATCTGCACCCAAAAAGCCAAGTCTTGTATGATCTGAAATCCCGAACACAGAAGGCAAGGTCAATTCGCTTTTCCTGTGAGCTGGCCGCCTATAGAATAACCCCCAGCTGGTGCCTCGAACATGCCCTCTCATAGCTTTCCTGTTGCTTTTTCTCGCTGTTTTACAGCTAGTTGCACATGGGAGCGGAATGGCCGATTCCGGCCAATGCAAAAAAGAATGTCCAAGAGGCCGAGCGAGGCAACATACAAAGCATTTCGGTCTTGGCTTTGTTCACCCCAAGCTTCCGTCTCCAAGTCCTGCGGGATACATAAGGATATGAACACGATCTCCCGACGGTCAGAGGTGAACAGAAGGAACCAACCTAAAGCAAGTTCTGCCGGCGGCTGTTCGAGCGAACGCACATAGCGAGGCATTCTGCTGAGAAAATATGATTATGCTTTAGAATAGATTTGGCTTAGCGCCGGTTGGGGAGGCTTGCACTTCATAATATCTGTCTTCACCTTGTCCAGTGCTCCAGTGGTCCACAATGCCATGCGGGGCTATGGGGCTAGAAGCTGGAGCGGCCATTTGCGCCGGCTCTTGTAATCAAAGGCAAAGGGCTCAGCGTGGTTCACACGTTGCATGTTCAACGTGAGAAGCACAAAACACCATGTATTGATGGTTTTTCCTCGTCTTTATGCCTCGCCGGGAGGGTGTTTGACCCTGAGTCTCGAGCATTTTGCATGAAGGGGCTGAAGAGAAAAGCGTGAGACGTGCCAGACTTGCATCGTGTTTGAGCTATGGGCCAGCTACTTGGCCGACTTTTGATGGCGCCCGCGAGAACTCCCGGCTCCTGACTGAGGTGGCACCGCCCCACACAGGTCGAGTCATGTTCCGGCTTGATCGGAGAAGGTGGGACATGTGAGCCTAATTCTGCAACATATTGTACACCTGGGGATGAACCGGCAAGCATTTCCCCAAAATGCAAACCATCCTCTAGAAGGCTCCCCATGTTTTTCAACCATGGGTTTACAAGCTCAAACAATCACTCATTTCAGGATCTCCCATGACTTGGCTCCTGGTTCTTAAAAAATGAAACCAATCCACAAATCTGGGCTGTTCTCAGATCCCCTGCTAACAGTTTAACTTTTCGTGACCTCCATGCTGCCGGTTAGTGGGTTAAATGGATACCCTCACTCAACACACCAAAAACAACCAAAAAGCTAATGGGACGCCCTCGCTAAACACACCAAAAACAACTAAAAGCCTAGGAGGACGGCTGGGAGCCACCAAGAAATTGTGGCCTCGACCCTCGGCACACCACCTCGGCACAACTCGGCACTGCACGCCTGCGCGGAGGCATGCGCCGGCCGCGCGAGCATCCACCTGCGCGAAGCTCGGTTTCAAAACCCGCGGAATCGGCGTGGAGAATGCCACTGGAACCACCAATGGACCCAAGACCGAAGGGAGCCCATGCACTCACAGGTGTCCTAGGGCAAATGGCCCTGGTAGATGAGAAAAAACCACCAGGTAAACCAGGGATCGCCATTGATTTTTCGACAACACCAAAAAGGACACCTATGCATGCACTTTTCGGAGGTCCTTTCGGTATTGCCCACAACTTCGGATCCCAGCGGAAGCAGAAGCTCACGCCAAGTCCCGCACCAAGTCCCGCCTTTCCAAAGCCAGCCTCTGGGCTTGCGAGAAATGCTGCTCAAGCCTAGGGGTTGGTCGCGCAAGGGCCAGGCAACAGTCGAACCTCCAACCTTTGCCATGTTTGCAATCCAAGTGATTGGGATCTTTGAGGCGTTCATTGCGGGGCACTGCATCGTGGTAATGCCCCGATTTGATAGAGGATTCGGGACAAAGCCCAGTGACGACCCCCATAACTCGCTCCTTGAAAAGGCAGTGGACGGAGGTGGCATGCGCCCTTAAAGTCCAGTGTTCCTGATGACCTACACCAAATCCGTTCCCTTGGTACAGGAAAGGATTCAAAGGAAGCAGAGCGTGGTCAAGCCGTGTGGCACACATGGCCGCTACCTTCAGGGCGTTCTTCCCCAACCGGCGCAAGCAAAGGGACGGCCTCCCTCCGTGCTTTACCGCACAGCCCAAGACTTCCCTAAGGCTTTTCCCATCCATGGGCTCAAGTTTGCGGCTTGCCAAGAGCATTTGGCCTACCGGCCAGCGTGGACAAAAATGTTGAGTCCTCTCAAGTGGCACTTGCGTAAAAACCACTTCTATGCATTGTGAGCTTCAAAACCTCAATTTCGATGTCACAACATTTGAAGTCCAACCCCCCACACCAACTCCCCAATCCACCAACCCACACCAACTCCCCAACCCCCCAACCCCCCAACTCCCCCAACCCATCCATCGTCCATCCGCTCGGCCCACAGCATGGCTTGCCGCACATCCGGCGCCAGACGCTTCAGCAGCCCAAAGAGACGCGCCTCCCAGGCTGCGTTCAGCCATGGGATCGATGCTTCGAAAACTCCAAGGGACTGGCCCAACATAGCAACCAAACTTGTTATTTATTTACTTACCACTAAAATGGTCTTCACACAAAGTATCCAAAACTCCAAGTGCCTGGCCCAAAATAGCAACCAAACTTGCTATTTACCACTAGAATGGTCTGCACACAAAGTATCAGGTCCATGAAGCCCGGAAGTGGGATGGTCAAAAAGGGGCCCGAACGCAAAGGACGTCGGCCTGCACTTTGGCAGGGGTCGTAATTAGTAATCAGGCTTTGGCAGGTGTTTGCAACGTTGAACAGAATGGGGAATCAACCCGCTTCTGGGCTGGTGTCTCATTGGTTTGATGCAACCAAAGTATAGCTTATCATCATATTCATATTGAATGATGGCTTTGCTTTTGGTTGGGTTTAATTGGGTCCAATAGAGTAACACCCTCAAAACTACCCGATCTACATGGTGGGTGGCCTAAAGGGACCCCCCGGACATCTGTTTGAGAACTCCGTCACAAATTCCTCAATGGACCCAATTTTGGCTTTAATCAAGTTGGCTTGTTTGGCTCCACGATCTTTGATCAACCGCGCAATGAATAATTGAAGAGAAGCTCCCATGACAATGGCCATTTTTTGGACCCTGCCGCCGATACTTGCCGAACCATGGAGCCACATCTTGTCCAACCCGAGGACCTTCGCAGCTACAAACTCCCGGTTCATTGCGTTTCAGGTGTATGCCACAGGGCAACCGTTCACACTTAGGACAAACCCGAACCTAAGCCCACGAGTTCTTATGGGAATGTTGCTGAGTTTCTTTCAAGGACCGTACCGACTTAGCAACGGCTAGGCTAGGCCTAGGTGTTCTTTGCACTTCTCCACAGCGCAGCTCCCCCAAGTGATGGTTGGACCAAACTCGCTGGTCTGTATTGAGCTGCTTCTGACTGGTGGGTCAGCTTGACCCTGCCCCGCAAGTCAAAGCTTTATCCGTGGGACCGTTGAAGTGATAGGTTTTCTGCTGGTCAGTGTTCGCGCGAGTCTCGCAGGCTTGTTAAACATATTCTGCTCACACCTGTTGCCAGAACTTCAGGAACTCATCAAGAAGCTCGAGGCCAGAAAACCATGGCTGGACCAGGATTCCAGTGAGGAAAGCTGCTCATGTAGCCATTTGTTTCGCGCTAGAAACAACAGTGCCCAACAGCCGTGGACAAGGGATGCCATTTTGAGGCTGCTTCCATCGATTCGATGGGCGCCCGCCTCTTTGCGAATCTACTAGGTCCTCCAGTAGAGAGGTTAGAAAAAGGGTCCCAACTTTTTTCTGTAGTCGATTGTAGGGGAACCCTCCCAACCAGACAAGTTGGTGAGAAAGGGCACTGGGGGACCTAGATGCTGTGCTGGTGCAATCTATACGAGGTCAAACCTATGGGGTCCTTTGTTCTACGCTATTTATCGATTACGCAGCTCTGAGGCTGCTTCCATCGGGCTCATTTGCATCACGATCAAACCTGTGGATGGTTCCGAAATCCATTTCGCACCACCTAAGAAACCGTCGGATAACGATTGCCCTGTAAGTACCCACAAACGTCATGGCTTGAACCGTGGCTTCAAAGTGGCGCGGACGGAGTTCGCAACCATCCACAGCTCGGTTAACTTTGAGTGGTTTAATACGGAAAACCCCTGAGTTGGCAAAAAGTTCTCAAGTCCTAACATCCCTTGGCAAAATGCACCAAAGAATCCTTGGCATGTGAGCAAAACAAACTTTGCCTGTTGAGTGAGGCGGGAACCAAAGAGTTACCAAAAAGTTCTCCTCGTTCGCCCGGCTGGCCGGGCAAAAGGTTTTCGGTAGGGTTCTCTTTTAAAGCACACCAAGATCTGCCCGAAGCCGTTCAGTCGGGTTGCGCCCCCCCGCCTCAATGGAGTGTGCACCCTGGGCGAGAAGCGAGCGACCGCGGGCGATGCGGGCGTGGCCTTTGGGGACCCCCCCAATATGGCGGTCCTGTTGGTTTCAGTCTCAAAAAAGCACACCAAACAGAGGGTGCCCTCACACAAAGACAGAGCCTTCGCAAAATATATATATATATATAACAGGAAGAATCGGATCTCTAACGAAAGAACCTGGGTGGTAAGCGTGGTTTATCCCCAGCTCGTCAAAAGATATGCTCATTTGAATTGTCGGTTTGGGATGATGGCCCTTGTTTCCTTCGGACTTGGAAGTTCCCATTTGGCTAGGGAGCTCCTTTAAGGAATTGAATTGGATGGCCGCCCTATGCTGCGAGCCCTCAGTTCAACCCATGAAACAAGGGCAATGTCTGGAAAGGCGGTGGTGACACGTCGCATATAAACAAATGCGCCCTCTGTCAGGCTACAAACTTGGGTGATTCCCCGCCTGGGTGTGTTTTGGTTCTCCGAAAATACCATCTGCACAGCTAAATGGGCACCTAGCATGGCGCACATTGCAAACAAAACACGATAACGGCCTAATAGAATAGAAAGGGGTTGAGGGGCTGTTCAACCAAGTAGAGACATGACATGAGTCATGCTCATGGCCATGGGTCAAAACCCCGTACCCCAGTGAACATCCCAATCCCCACTAAAATAGGTTCCAAAATGGGTCTATCCCAAAATGGTAACCATCACATTTGTACTTATCTGGCTCCGTATACCGGGTTTCTCTTGTTTTCTGAGGTCATCCGGCGTCCACCGAAGCCATGGCGAAACAAATCCCCTTCGCCTGCCCGCGCACCTGGACGAAAACGCAACGGCAGACTGGCCAACATCAGCCACGCCTAGGTCCTCCAGTAGAGAGAGGTTAGAATAAGGGTACCAACTTTTTTTTCTGTAGTCTATTTTAGTAGGGGAACCCCCCCAAAAAAGAAAAGGGTAACAGGTCACTACTGGGGGACCTAGATGCTGTGCTTGCACAATTGAAACTACCCTCCGACCAACTAAAAAAGGAAGTGAAAAAAGGTTCTTTCCAAGAGGAAAGTAGTCTTTCTAGGGTCTGTGCACTTCCATGTTAGCTGGTGGGAGGGTAACATTCACTGTGCCAGACCCCAAGGCCCAGAAACTTAGAACCCGAGCATATAAGCCCTACGGGCAAAGAGTTTGCATACCAACCTGAAGCAGGGGCCCAAAAGACTGATTGGAATCATACACATTGTCATGAGTGTAATCCGTTGTTTCTGCCAATTGCTGCTGATGTCCCCGTACTTCTTCTAAGCTCGTGGCTGCTCGTGGGCAACGTCTCAAAGCTTGGCACACATGCTAGGTCAGACATACGAGGACTGCCTTCAGCAGGGATCGGCAGGGTCGCAAATGTGGCAGTTGAGAAGGACAACAAGGTAAGCATTCCCAACAGACATTGCATGTAGGCTGCAGAAAAGGGGTGTCGCGGTTCAAAAAACCCACGAGTCACAAGGAGTCTTTAGTCAGCAGTGGTCATTTTACCCTTTACAACCCATGGTACCAGCCTGTTTGATCTGAACCCTAGAGGGAACATGTGTATGTTTAATCACAAAGGGAAACGCATTACTTTGTGGCAGCGGCCGCTTCCTCTTTTGCTGTGAGTCTTTCACCTGTAACTTGAACGCGATCATGGTCTGTGGGTCCTCGTGTCTGTGCGTTCACTGCGTGTTTCACCTGTGTAACTGTATAACACGTTCGCTTGTGACCGTGTGTTCATCGTCAGTGTGTTGCCTGTAGCACGAACAATATCATTGTCGCGCGTGGGTGTTCGTGACCAATAACGTGTTCATTATGAGACTTTTCACCTGTAACACGAGCAATATATCACTGTCATTCGTTGGTGCTTGTAACTATGCGTTCATTAAGGGTCCACCCGGCGCATATTGTATGTCGTGGAGGGCTCTGGCACAAAACGCAGCAGGCACGCACGTCGCAAAAGAAAACCTCCAACCAAAACAACCACCTTTCTGGGAAATCATGAGCCGTGAACGCCAAGGCTCGATGCTTTTTCGGCTCAAAGCCATTCTTTGCCACAACAGCTGACCATACCAACACCCGCTCTGCCTCTTTAGCTTTAAGCGCCTTCCAGCACGATCTTCAGCTGGTCAGCAAAGCTGATGACGAGCATGTGAGAGCGAGCGCTTCTGTGATGATGGAACGCGTCCAGCGCTGATGTTAATGAAATCTGCGATGGTCCTCGCGTTTTCGAGGTGCTCAATTGATTCCAACTCAGTCAGCTGGAGGTGGAGCGATAAGAAGTATCTTTGCTCAGCGATCCAAGCAACGAGTCTGCCACAGTTCACACCTCCTGGTCAGTGGAAGGATTCCGGTGCATCCAGAAAACATGATAGCTGCATGAGTCAAGTGGACCTTTGTCACCTCTCGGGTTGCTGACATGATGGCATCGTTTAGTTGGGGAGTCATGACAAGCAACCATATGTGGTTCCCATTGAAATTCATAGCCGTAGGTTGAAGTAAGCAAACAACGGCAATAACATTGATATACGCCTCACATCAAGCAGCCGGAACGTCGCTCTTGGCTGCAGGGAAGCATCGGATCACTAGCGCCGAAATAACTATGGTCTTCTCGCTCGCCCCAAAAGTCGCGATGCCCTTCCCTACTACAAGGGCCTAAATGATTAGAATAGGCGCTTATGCCGCCTCCGTGATACGGAAATGAATGAGGCATGCTCGCTGCTATTTACATCAAAACAATTACGCCAAGTGTGTGTATCACATGGGGATCGATCCTCCTATTGAGCTGGTACATGTGATTTGCAAATGGCGACCATGTATCCTATATAGGGGAACCGCGTATTGCTTAAACATCCTTCAGGTTTTGTCTCAGGTGTCTAATGGTCTGGCGGGGAACCAACTAATCAAACGTGTCTTTCCGGTTTCAGGCCCCGTTCAAAGTGGCCTTTGCGTATGGGGGCGGACAGTTCTAACCTTTGGTGTGTTATCACAATTAGAATGGGACTTTGAAGTGTGAAACCAAGCTACCTGTTTGGCCCCTCGTGTGTGGACCGACTTTCCCCAAACTTGACAAGGACTTGAACCACGACTCCTGCGATTTGCCCGCCTGGCTTCGACTGCCTGGGGACAGGTTTTCCCGGATGATGGTTGCCTTTGGAACCCCAAGTTGCTTGCTGACCCGGTGGCTTGAGCCGGGCGAGAGCTAGCATTTAACGTGAGGCCCATGTTTGCGATAGGCCAATTTCTGTGTCTATCAAGACACAAAGATCTCAGAAAAGCAACCCATGCAGAAGTTTCGGTGTCCCTTTAAACCGACCCCAAAAAGGGTACCACCAAAAATACACATGCTAAACTGCTCTGCGGAAACATGAGGAAAGTTCTGCGGTGGGTCCGGTGGGTGCTTGACAATCAAGCTTGCACGGTACGGATGATGCGCTTTTCCCACCTGCAAACATGACTTTGAAAGGGCAAGTATGCATTTTACAAGGGTGAGGGCGTGGTTTGAGGGTACCAAACTCATAGCACCTTCAACATGTTCACTTGTGGTTGACGGGGAAAGGAAGGAAAACCAAAAAGGCAAATTCCAGAAGTAGGTCAGCCCAGCCTGGCAATGTAAAGGATAAATCCGAAACAACACCAGCTTGGGGCCCAACAATTCATCAAATGGCGTTGGCCGATGGAGCAAGGCCTTCCCTGGAACGGTAATAAACTTATCCAGGTTTCTTAGAGAGCGCCTCAAAGGATACAACAACCAGCTGCTTGACACCTCTAGATGAGCACGAACAAAGATATCAATATCTTTACGCTGGCCCTATTCACGCCCATTCACGAGCCGGTGCACTTGAGCTTCTGTAAGAAATATATCTGTCAAGACTTGTTTGCTTGTAGCAAGAGGAAATCTCAGAAAGAGATCTGCAAATTTGGTTGTCAAGACAACACTTCTGGCAATGACTCAAAGCTGAAGATCATAAAAGCAGGCCGCAGCCTGCATTCCTCCGTTCACATTTCTGTCCGAATTCTCCCAGGCAAGATTTCTATGAGGATCATGTATTGCCCTGGGATACTTGGCTGCATACCAGCCATCTTTCCTTGAATCACGTCGTTGACTAATTTATAAACCCGGGCGTCCAATTGAATTGTCAGCTCCCTTACATACTTCTTTCAAGTGGCTTCAAATAGTTTGTCCATGAATACATGTGTGAGTCTCAGCATGTTTTTTTCGGGCTGGGTTGGTTTCCCTTGCTTCAGGGCGCTTCCATTTGAAAAGAAAACAAAGCTTCTTGCTTTATGCGGGGTGCCAGCTGAAAACATCGTGGGCTTGAAGGGTCAAAGGGGTTACTCATGGTATTCAGCGTGCAAAGTCTCTGGGTCAAGAGCAGCTCCGATCATTTGGCTTGACTCTATTTTGGATGGCAATAGCCCTGAGAGGACTAAAGATGAACCCCACCCACAGAGTCTTGCCAACGAGATGCAATCCACGTGACCCAAACTCAGCCGCCAACCCCCCCCAGCCTCCTGCACCTGGACGGTCTGTTTCATTGGAGCGCCTGGCGTAGCTGGACCCCCAAACGAGGCTCACGGGCCTTGAGGTAAGGAAAGTCCCCGGTGGTTGGCGCTTCGTGGCGAAAACATCAACAGGTCCGCATTTCCATGTTGTGGGTGTCCGGTAATCCTTTTTGTTGGGGATCCCACAGAACCCCAGCAACCAGATCGTTGAAGCCTCATTTGGCGATGCTTGGGTCCTTCGAAAGTGATCCAAGGGGCCGCTCATTTTAGTGGTCACTTTAGGGTCGAACCACCCTGGCAATGGCAAAGTAAGCACAAGGATATTGTGTCAAAGTGGGCGGACCCCCGAAATTGTGGGTTTACTTTACTCTCCCTTTGAGACCACCCCAAACAAGGAAACCCACACATGGCACTGAACCACTGCGGAACACGAGCTCGCCAGTCGCAAGAGTCAGTCGCTCCCATCCGCCTCATCGCGACGCAGGTTCACCTCGGTATCTTCAGCTTGCGGCAAAGGCGTGTGTCCAAATCTGGGGGACCCCAGCTTCCTTTTCCCCTTTCTTGCGAACTGGGCACGACATGTCAGAAATCATCTATGGAAAGAGCCGCGCATCCAAAAAGGGCAACTGCATGTCGCAAAGATCTGCAAAGCTGCGACTACTTGCAAGGAAGAGCTGTAATGCAAGGTTTGGAAGGACCCCTCAGCACCTATCTACAACTTAGTTGGTCTAAAAGGTCAACGTGTACAGAGGTACTTGCAGGACCCAAAGTGGTCGTGGCCTTCCAATGAAGACTCAAGACCATGCCTGAAAAGGGAACTCAGTAGGCCTCTGGCTGAGAGAGTGTCCCGTTGCGGGGATCCTGATCCTTTCTGCCAAATTGATGAGTTCGGGGTTACATTGCGGGTCTCCATCGGCAAAAATCCCTCAAAGGGCGTGCCCTTGTCCCAGGAGCGAACTGGGCATGTCAAGCCAAAACGGTGGACTTGCTTAGGTTTCACTCCAAAACCGTCCTGCAAAAATGCCTTACAAGAACACACTACATCGAAGGCGAGTTTTCGGCCTCAGTATCTAAAAGTCTGTTTTCCTGAGGACTGCCAATGGTCAAACAGAGGCAAATCCCTTCCACACAATGAGGTCGGACCCTTTCATATTGGTCTCTTATGAACCAAACTGGAGTCCAATCAGCTGGAAACCATGGCCATAATGCGGATCCCTCTAGGCCAAAATGCGGAGACACATCAAGGCCCAAACGAGGCAGCGCCAGCTCTTGAAGCCAGTCAGTGACTCTGACTTCCATCAATGTTCTTT